TCCTAAGATATTGAAGATATTGCTACCCATCGTTCGACGAAGGTGCGAGCCACTGTTTCAGCAGTGCTGTCCTTGATAGGTACTGCTTCTGGCCATCGAGTGAAACGGTCTACGCAGGTTAAGAGATAAGAGTATCCATTTGAATCTGGTAAAGGTCCTACCAAATCCAGATGAACATGGTCGAAACGAGCATCGGGAGTTTTAAACGAGCCTAAGGGACATTTATTGTGTCTGATAACCTTAGATTTTTGGCAGCTTACACAGGAGCGTGCCCACTCCCTCACGTCTTTATTCATGCCAGGCCAGCAAAACCGTTCTGCTATAAGCTTGATGGTTGCACGAACACCTGGATGAGAAAGTTTGTGCAATGTGTTGAAGACATTGCGTCGATAATGTTTCGGCACGATTGGGCGATCCCTACCTGTAGATGTGTCACAAAGTAAGGTTTCCTTACCTGTTCCCATCTGTTTGATGCGTAGTTTAAGTGTTGTGGACGATAACTCGTGCTGAAGATCAGTGTCTTCTTTTTGAAGCTCGGCGAGTTTAAGAAGGTCGATTCCTTGGAAACTGTTCAAGGAAGTTATGCGAGATAAGGCGTCTGCAACTACATTGTTTGCTCCAGAAATGTGTTGAATATCTGAAGTAAACTGCGAAATGTAGTCCAGTTGTCGAGACTCACGGGGAGAGTACTTGTCAGAAGGAGAGCTTAACGAGAAAGTGAGCGGTTTATGGTCCGTGAAAAGAGTGAATTCACGGCCTTCGATATAGTGTTGGAAATGCCGTACAGCACAATACATAGCTAGGAGTTCCCTACCGAATGTGCTGTACCTCGATTCGGTGTCTAGCAACCTTCTAGAGAAAAATGCCAAGGGTTGCCAGGAGTTGTTAACCCATTGTTGTAAGACTCCTCCGATTGCCGAGTCGGATGCGTCTACTGCGATGCTAATGGGTGCTCGGTGTCCTGATGTGCGAGCATTGTTGCTTTAGCAATCAGTTCCTTAACTGTGGAGAATGCTTTTCGTGCGGTGTCGTCCAAATTAATGGATTTCGCATTTCCACGAAGTTGGTCGGTCAGAGGTTTCATAAGTAATGCGCATTTAGGTATGAAACGTCTATAGAAACTTACCAGGCCGTTAAACGTGCGTAATTGCTTGACGGTGGTCGGTTCTGGGTAATCCAGAATGGCCGCCACTTTGGTTCTAAGGGGTCGGATACCTTGAGCATCGATAGTGTGTCCTAGGAAGTCTAATGAGTCGGTTCCGAATTGGCATTTCTGAACGTTTACAGTAATGCCATGTTTTTGTAGTCGTTCGAAAACAAGATCCAGATGCTTGAGATGTGATTCTCTGTCCGGACTTGCGATTAGGCAGTCGTCAACATACGCATGTACGAAGTTGAGACCTCGAAAAACGTCGTCTATGAATCTTTGGAATGTTTCTTAGACCGAAAGGCATTCGCAAAAATTCATAGAGTCCGAAGGGAGTTATGATAGCTGTTTTCGGTATGTCGTCAGTAGCCATAGGGATTTGGTTATACGCTTTAACCAAGTCGATTTTCGAAAAGACAGTTGTACCTTTCAAGGTAGCTGTCAAATCGTGAATGTGAGGCAACGGGTAACGATCGGGAATGGTTTTCGCGTTCAATCGCCGATAGTCACCAGTTGGACGCCAATCGTTGCTGTCCTTTTTAGGGACCATGTGCAACGGAGATGCATATGGGCTACTTGACGGTCGTATGATTCCTAAGTCTATCATGTGATCGAACTCGTTTTTCGCCAACCTTAGCTTTTCAGGAGCTAGTCGTCGTGCTTTAGAGAATACAGGTGGTCCTGTAGTCGTGATGTGATGTGTAACGATGTCGGTTACACACGGTAGTTTTGATTGCGTTTGTTGTATCCCAGGATACTTGTCGAGTAGTGGTTGATAAAGTGGGTCTATCGTGTGCTTAATTGTGACTGGGGATAATCTGCAACCAGAAAAAGAAGTTACGCAAACGGATAATTTAGTGTTTCCGTCTACTAGCCTCCGTTTGCGCGTATCGATGATTAGATTATAGTGTTGTAGAAGGTCCATACCAATGATTGGCATAGAAACATCTGCAACAACAAAGAACCAGTGAATGGGATTGCGTAAACCCACATTAAGGTAAAAGTACCTTTTGCCATACGAAGCGATAGGTTTTCCGTTTGCCGCCTGTAAGCGCTTACGGTCGTTACGAAGATTAAGATAACGCGTGAGTGTATGTCATTCTGAGTCGTTTGAGGCTTTTCTTTGACTGAAAAACCTCGGTTTCGTAATCTCTAAGATACGACCGGCAGATACAGCCAGTTCGTCTAAGGCGTTGTTCTGAAACGAGACCAGAACCGCTTGAACCTGTCGGCGAAGTCTGGACAAGAAAAGTTGTTTGAATAGACCTTCGTCGAAAGTTCTTAGGCCTATAACCTCTCTCACCCTTTGCAACATGTCCGTCGCAGAACCGTGTTGCAGGTCTATGTTATCAAAGAGTTGATCTAACATTTGTCGATCGGCTAGGTCTCCTCGTTTAAGAATCGAACGTTTTAAGGTTTCGTAAGGTTCAGAAAGAGCACTAGTAAACATACTATGTGTTACGTACTTGTTGAATTCCCGCTGTAGTGCCTTGACTACTGCGAGAAATTGTGCACGTGTGTCGTTCACGCCGTGCTCGTGGAAGTCGGGTTCTGCGTAGCAGAACCAGGCTTCAATATTGTCGGGCCAGAAGGGCATGAGCTGGAACGAGGGTGGGGACATGATCTTAATCTTGAATACCTTAGGAGTCTGTTCGGTCAAACGCAAATATTAAGTACGAGATTTCGAGGGAAAAATATATAGATATCCTGAAACACGGGGAAAAATATCACGATAAAAAATAAAAAATAGGGCAACAATATATAAAAGTCCCAAAAAGGAACAGACTCACAGTTGCAATCAGGTGTACCAGATCACGTCGGTCTCACCAATGAAAATGGCACAGGTATTCAGTGTTTGACAATGCTTTTACCAGTAACACCCAATATAATTCGTGCCACCAAGAGGAATCGAAAAACAGAATCGAGGAGATCGGGAGAGTGTATTTGGCGATAACCAATATATCGGAATTCTCTGATCTAATCTGGCTAGCGATTGCGGTAGATGTTGAACACAGCGTTACCACACGTGATCTGGTGCGGAGGCATGACCGAGCGCCTTCAGCTGGATGAGTCCACTAAAACATATGGTCAGCATCCAATGTCGGAATCTTACAGAGCTATTTATTTTGGGGATTTATTTACCGTTACAATATGTTCAGCTTATTGACTACTGCCTCCCACATTCACAGTCACTTTCTAGATTTATTGTGTACAAATGATATTTCCCATTTTATGGTGCCTTGCGGTCTGTTTGTTTGATATATAAACCCAGTATGTTTGAAATAAACGATTCGACTCGATTCGCATAGTCGATACTGGTATTGGTGATCTGGTTTCAAGTGGACGGGCTAGGCGGACATTGGACCAATAAGAACACTAAGCTGCTCATACCGGTCGAACATCATTGGTTTGTCACGGTGCTAAGATTGCACAAGTCGTATTTTGATTGGTGGATAAATCACGTGATAAAAAGCCGGACATAAAGTCGTGACAAAACCCTTTCTGAAACCATGTGTTCGCTGTTTCACAGGTTATCGGTTTCTACAGATGTCATTATAATCTGCTTGACTATTCCTTCCAATATTTTAACCACAACACTGATGAGGTTGGCAGGTCTTTAGTTCGATGGAAGTTGTCTTGGTCCTGTTTTAGGTATAGATGCGATGGTTGCATCCTTTCAGTCTTGGCTTTGTACTTGGATCTAGTTCATTGTCTAGAAGAGGATTCTGAGTGAAAACTGCCCCAAAATAGTTAGCCATATCCTCTGCTTTTTCCTGATCTTCCTCTATCATTTCAGATCCACTCTCTTCTTTAATTAGGTTGGGAATCCAATGCTGCATCCTTGTTCAGTAATTTGTGTACGAGAATGATCTTTTAGGCTGCTTGAGTGCAGATCGTGTCAGCTGCATTTCAAATTTACTCTGAGCTTCACGAATTTTTGTTATACACTTGTTTCTCACGGGTCTGTAGCGTTCCATCGTATCTGCTGTGCCAGGGGGGTGACAACATCCCAACATTTCTTCTTTTGTCTTAGTAAACGTCGAATATCCCGGCCTATCCAGGGATGGCCGTGCTTCTTCCTCTTTGGAGCTGTCCAGGGTATGTATGGTTGAGTTACCCGACTGTATAACTACCTGAAATGAGTCCATGCCTCTTGTACTGATACCCTTTAGTAAATTTCCCAGTTTTCAGCAGATGCTATGAAGTTTGTTGCCTCCATGCCTGCCCTCCATATGTTAGAACGGGCCGGCGTAACTGTTTGACAGGCCGTGTCAGCGATGAACTCGAATAAGATGACTGCATGATCACATCTATCCAGAGGTGGAAGGAGAGTCATTTGGCCGACATCGTCACCGTGTGTGAAGACTAAATACAAGAGAGACGAGGAGCTTCGTAAGTCATATCTGGTGGGACCTCTAATGTGTTGTAATAAAGCTAATCCAATTGAGGTTTCTAACAGTTTGCAACCAAATGACCTTATAGTTGACCCTACTTCTAAGTTAACCCAGTTTATATACGGTGCATTAAAGTTACCTACTATAAGGCTTTTACCCCTATTACACCAGGACTTAAGTTTGCTTAGGAGGAAGTCATCTAATACACATTCTGGAATGTGACATACCACAACTAATTCAGCATATTGTCGTCTACAGTTAAACTTGGAACGCACCAGTTCACATGTCCCTGAGTCATATGCCACTGTCTCAACTACGTTCCACTGATTTGTTTTACCTTTAAACCCCTGAAGGAAAATAACACGGAGCATGCGTTAGCATTACTATCACGCTCTCCTACAGCCGCAAAACAGACGAATAGTTCATTAATTTTCTCAATCAAAGTTTGAGGGCTTGGAGTTTGAAGTATGATAGGCGCATTTAGTAAAGCGTGCGTTTCATCATGCTCGTGATGTGTTAGTCAAGGGTTGAACCCATAGTATATTATGATCTAATGAGGGTAAGTTCAGTGGGTTTTTTTGCCAAAATTACACATAGTCTGAAAGTTAGCGTTTTTAACCTTAATTGTATTATAGTCATGATGGCGCACATTACCCAAGCAACAATAGGGAAGTGACATTCACTACAGGTACTCAATGTGGATTTTAAGCTGAAATAGACAAAAGTGCCACTTGTTTTGTTTGACGTTGGTAAATAGTTGGGCCAATTACAACGCTTTTTGATGATACTACTAGGCTACCAGCTTTTCTTTTTGAAGATTTTGAGTAGATTTTGGTAAATATCCTTCATATATGTGAATTTTGAGTATTTTCGGCAAGCTTTTCCGAAAATTTATCAAAAAGGTATCTGGGACGTGTCTTTTATTCACGCTGTACGGTGGGGAGCCGAACGTCTTGAAATCCGTGTACGTATTTTCTACGTTTGTTGACTTTATCAAACGTGTGGCCTCGTGGTGTAGCGGTTATCACTCTGGACTTTGAATCCAGCGACCCGAGTTCGAGTATCGCCCCCCTGAATGCCCTGGTACGGCCGAGAGTTGGGAGAGTCCGCTCTCCCTCTCGAAATACTCTCACACGGCCACGCGTATACAGCCTCTGCCAGGGAAGTCCTACTCATTGCCTTCTCGTGGCGGGGGTGTTGTCTACGAAAATGAGAGGACGAAAAGTGAATGTCTGGCGCTTTAACCGGATTCCAAATCAATGGTGCACATGGGCTCCAGTATCCTGCGGGAACGAATGGCGTATGAACCAATCGTTGGTCACCGGCTACCATGGGACTGCATCTCCTTACGATGCTCCACTGCCTTGTGGGTTAGACCTTTAGGTCAAAGGCTCGGGAGTGGCCCCCTAAGATAACCACCTGCTTCGGTTTGGGCACCCGAGCAGTATCACAGCCCACACACAAACGATGAACTCTATGTCTATGGCAACTGCTTTTCTCGCTCCGAAAAACAATCAGTCGACTTTATCAAACATACCTAACTGCTCTCCACTTTTTCATCTTATTTTCAGATTTGGCAATACTGTATGTTGTTATGTCAACCAATCAACTTTCAATTAGTTGAAAAACGTGCTGAAAAATCTTATAAATCAAACCGATATTAGTCATATAAAATTCAAGCAGACCATCCTTTATACCTGTCAAATACTGAAGTCTTCTGTCCTTTTTTCAAAGTCATATGGTTTATCGCTCTAACAATCATTTCAGTATATTAACGAGCACTTTAAGCTGCGCAAAAGCTCACTGTTTAATATTAGTATTATTTCTCCTGACCTGTTTTAAACATCTATTCGAATCCAGTCTATTTCTAGTGTAGTTGTCCAATGACATGTTTGTAATTTGATTGAGGCAAATGATTTACCAATTTTAATAGTTGGTCATCAGTAAATTTTAAATTAGTCACTGCTTAATTTTTTCTGCAATAAATTCTTAATGTATACTCTGATTGTATTATTTTATTTATATTTACTTGAAGGTATACCATATGGTGTTCAGTCACGATTTCTACCTCTTATATTTCGCAATAAAGGTCTCTCACTTACTTCATTAGGTCTACATAAACTTCTTCATATTCCTTGGCTACTTAAAAGCTTTTATGCTCCGGTAATTGAGAGACATGTGAACAAAAGAGTGTGGTTATTTATCACTTTCAGTGGTTTGTTTTTTTGCACAGTCTTATTATTTCACGAATGTAAACAATTGGTCAGTGGAAACAATTATTTCATGTTCACTATTTCTTCTTGCCTTTTTATGTATAATTTTTGGGCAGCTTCACAAGACATTACTGTTGATTCACTGACCTTGTCCACCTTAACATCAAGTCAAATCTCTTTAGGGAATACTATACAAGTTGTTGGCTACAAATGTGGAGCTATTATTGGCGGTGGATTTCTTGCTTGGTTGTCAGCTTTTGTAGAAATCAGTTATCTTTTCATATCACTTAGTTGCTTATATGCTAGTGGGATGTGCTTTTGTTTGATCGGAAAGTATTGGAAATTTTGTAATGTAAAACAAACGTATATTCAAGTACATGGTAAGGTTAAATCGATAAACTGCACCGTGATTTGTAGTTTTACAACGTTTTCGCATACTATGATTTTGTTTTTCATAAGAATTTTCGTCTAGATATAAACGAGTAGTTTCACAGTAGATGAGTTCCGAGTTAATATCAAATATTAAGGAGGAAATTATATTTGTAAAACTCGGCGGTTCAACTTTAAGTAAATCCAAAGTTTTGCACGGGGATCTGGTTTTTATTTTATGTTATTCGGAACTTAAGAAAGTGATGTAATCTTCAGACCTAATTCTTTCAATGCAGTTCATTTTCAGACAGACCAATGCTTCCATCTTTAAAGGACATTATCAGTGCAAGGGGTAGTGATTATTACTCAGCTGCCTTATTTAAGGCAAGCGGAATGAGGTCAGAATCTGGGACCCTCTAGTTAAATGCTAGGTGTTTTAACCACTACTTAGTTATGTCTTACTCAACAAAGTTATATTTACGCCAAATACGTAAATTGCTTCCAATGCTCTTGGTATCTGGAAAGACCATCAAAGAATGTTTGTGTTGAATATTTCATGTGTAAAGTCAAGTTCGTCGGGGAGCACTGTCTACTACTTAACAGTCCTGTCTCCATTATAGGTCAAAAGAGTGATTTCATAATATTCTCAGCAGGCATCAGTCGAGGCTTTTGAACTTCAGTTCATCGTCTACTCAAAAGTGTGTCGTCGATGAGTTAAGTTAGCTAACGTTAAACAAACCGAAATCAGTTGTTTGTCTGATTGGTGCAAGTAGGTTTGCATTTCCTGCAAAAGCGTTCATAAAACAACAGTCACTGGTTAGAAAGATCCTAGATGACTTGGCTTAAAATTAGTTTTAATTTTTCCAGATACATTCATACTTTCAGATAACGTTTTACAATTTATTACTTACTTTTCCTAATCCTGACCTTTGTATGTTGTAGTATTTCTCTATTTCTTTTGATTTACTCTCTTCATACTTTTGAAAAAGTATTTCAAATTTAGTGTATAAAGCAAAAATCCACGTTGTTGCGTTCGTCCGTCAACGCCCATTTAATTGAATTGAGGAAGGTGGGACGTGCTTTTTGCTTTTCATATCTGACATTCTGAATTAATTTCTTTTGTTTGTTATGGGACGTAGTTTGGAAGTGAACAGTAAATGTTTGCTTCTTCGAGCACTCTAATTATTGATGGAGGTCCGACTAAGCTTTACGTCACTGCTGTAAGCTATGCACTAATTTCATAACACCAGAACATCCAGAAAATAAAATGTAAGGGTGCTAAATCCTTCTAATTCGTACGTTGGACTTATTATTTCACTTTAGACTGGTTGACGTTAGGTTACTCATTTTCATGTGTGGGACTTCAGTATTGGCTTGTGAATGGATTGAATTATTTTTTCAAATTAACCCAGGTGTTAGATAATTGGAATAGCCATACAAACAAATGGTCTAAGTAGTGCAGTGACAACCATAACTTCAGCGTTCGGTATTTTCACGAGAATATTAACTCTACTATGAAAATACGACGTCACAGCCGATAATTGTTTCAATGAATCCCAATAGAAAGCAAAGACTTTTCGGTTGTTCTGCAAGGTATTCTTAATCTATGTTAAGAGACTTTAAATGATATCTCTTAAAACCAATCGAATTCCCGTAGTCGCATTCGTTTTTGATCTTCAAATCTTGAGTTTTGATATTTATCCGATTTCATCCCTTGATTTTATTCGTTTCTTCTAAAATATGTTTTCGAATGTTTAGTTTATCGTTATAAACAATACTGGGCATAAGGTGTTAGGCGAATTGATTGGTGAGGTTTTGGAACTTCATCAACTGGGGTGCTTAGGACATGTGTTACGTACGCCTAATCACCACCTACTTTAATGCTTAATGTTAGCTGGTGTATGAATTAGCTAGGAGAAAGCTAGTATCTTCTAAACCGAAATGTAACGTTAGTTCATGAGGTCATTGACTAGTGGCCTAAGCCATGTTGGTAAATGAAGACTACTTCGTTTGGGTCTGCGCGATCAATGGTTGAAACCATTGGATAATATGTCTCAGAATCAGTCAGTCAGTCAGCTGCAACGTAGGACCAGGCACATATGTGCATCGGTCCAGGTTGTCATACCTCAACACAACAAGATGGACACCGGACTCATAGGAGTGGTTAGGTTAAAGGTGGTAATATATAGGAGAAAGATTGCATATAAGGATATAGTATAGGAAGAAAGAATTAGCTAGTAGAAAGAGAGATATGGAGTGATTTTAATCTCTTAGTTTAAGGGAAGACAGGGAGTGTATACACCGACGCCATTGTGATCGATTCTGAGCCATGTCACCAAGAGTCTTTGTCTCAGAATCGCAAAAAGTGGTTAGAGACTAGGTAACATAGCTCACAATTGTCCCTAATGACATAGGCACGTTCATTCTGTCTTCCCCTTGGTCCTAAGTTTCCAAATTATCTTATAATTTTTTTACACCAATCCATATCTTACATGCTTAACCTTTTCTATGACCACTACTATTTTTGCCATTCTGGGATTTGCTTTGACAATTTCATCTCACCGTGCTAATGTGATCCGGAAAATTGAACCGATTCACATTTGTGCCAGGTTCTTAGTCGCATATAAATGACTGATAGTTTAAATCGGTCACAGTGGCTCAAATGCATGAAATCCTTGCTTTGTTCTAGATCAGAAGTTCCAGTACTCATCAGCATACCTTTTCATTCCATTTTTCTGAACCACATTCACAGTCTTTAGTCCTCATTGCCATTACTTACGCCTGTTACTCCCGATGGAGCATAGGCCGCCGACCAGCCTTCTCCAACCCACTCTGTCCTGGGCCTTCCTTTCCAATTATGTCCAATTTTTGTCCATTTTTCTCATGTCTGTCTATATTTCTCGGTGTAATGTGTTCTTTGATCTTCCTCTTTTCCTTTGGCCTTGAGGATTCCATGTGAGGGCTTGCCATATGACACTGTTGGGTGCTTTCTTCAATATGTGTCCTGTCCATTTCTATCGCTTCTTCCCCCACTGGAATCTGACTTGTTCTCTCCCACAGTAGGTTGTTGCTGATAGTGTCTGGCCGATGGATCTGATGTATTTTGCGTAGACAACTGTTAATAAACACTTATATCTTGTGGATGATGGCTTCCGTAGTTCTCCAAGTTTCCGTTCCATACAGTAGAACTTTGTTGATATTTGTATTGAAAATTGTGACTTTGGTTTTGGTTGATAGTTGTTTTGGGTTACAGATGTTCTTCAGCCTCATTGTCATTGGTACTACATTATTTTGATTCTTCTAACTCATCATGTTAAATTGTATGGGAACTTGGTCCAATGCACATCTTTGTCAGGTTATACATTGTGACTGAATGACTGATCTCAAATTGTTTTCGTTTTATCTCGTTTATTGTGATCACTTAAAGTATGACAAATTGAGCTGACGCATAGTTATGCAAGATTTAATACTGTTTATGATTAATTGGTGGTAGCAGTCTGTTAGCTTAACGGGTTAAATTCAGAAAGAAGCAGAAGAAAGCACTGGTTTCATAACATACTGAGGATGCCATTATAACATATTTGGGTTAATCACGCTTTACAGACCCTATACATTTTATAGTTCAATTGATTGAAGTCATAATTTTGCATTGTAATATTATATATCTTTGGCTTCTTTTATTTTGCATGATTAATTGACTTTAATTTTCTTCAGAGAATGAGAATTCAGACGATGAACAAAATTTAACTATTGTGTCAAAACAATATTCGTACACAAAAGCCTTTAAAATTGCCCTGGGTCATTCGGGTGGTTCACGTTGTCTTATTGTTCTTCTACTGATTTATAAACTTGGAGAGCAAGGATCTATGAATATGCTACCTTTGATGCTTTTAGATAGAGGATTTTCTCTATCTAAAGTTGGATTTTGGACAGGTGTTGTTGGACAGTTGGCATCTATAATTGGGTCTACATCTGGATACTATATCCAGAAAAAGCTCAGGTTTGTTTAAGCTATCGGACAAATACTTTCGAATGTTTAAAAAATGTTACGAAAAGACGAAGTTTATCTAAAATATATGGTATGCTTGACTCACTCCATTTCAAACAGTCTGATCACACATTTAACAAAGGATTGCATGTGAAAACTAGTGTAAGTCATTTAAGTAAACGGTCAAATAGACAAAATGTTTTTAGCAGAAGTATATAACACAAGATGGTCTACTATAATAGTAATAACTAGTTTTCACTTTGTCGTTGGCACTAATATTGATTATGAATTATCAGGTCAGGTTAGAAACAAGAGTGAATTACTTCTGGATACCTAACTAAGGTTAATATTTTCCTTAGATTAGAAGTCATAAACTTAAAAGTGCACCGAATGCAGTTCCTATATAGGGGTTTAAAAGCTACCAAAATGTTATTTGTATCACCTATTTCAGTTTCTTGTTTTGCCTTCGTTTATCTGGGATTGAGGGGCTAACGAAATACGAAGCCATTTCCGTCATATCTACCAATTGAATAGGTCGATTACTGTTTCCTACACTTTTAAACCATTGAAATTAATAGAATGTTGTTATAGGATGTTATGGAAATCGTTGAATCTAAAGCTCCACATCACAGACTGACTTTTAGGTAGATGACCAATGAAAGCAAGAAAGCAATGGTCAGTTGTTTCATTCTAGTGTGGAAATCCTCAACATCGCACATCTACAACTTCATCTCCTTAGGTCTCAAGGTGAGCACCTAACATTCCGATCACGATTTACATTTCTAACTCCAATCAATTCACGATGTAGTGTGACCAACATCCATTGGGATCGGGTTGATTTGTATCACATCCAACTGGTCACGGCTTCTCACTGGGACTCTAGGATTTACATCTCGAAGTTAGTCACCAGCAAACACGTGGTGATTGTTATCATGTATTGGAAATATCGTTAAATTTTGCCTATTCATTTACATGATATTAACGTTCATGCAAAATACAAGTTTCGTTCTCTTAATGAGATCGATTTGGCAGTTTTATGTCTTTTTCTTGTCTGTTTTCAGACTCCGTTTCAAAATTATGCTGTCCAACTTCATTTTGTACTGTATAGGAAAAAGGTTTTGATATTAACTAATTTCTATTTTAGAGTAAAACTTTTGTAGCTATCTGTTTATTAGTGATGTCTCAGTAATATTTACAATCTTTTCCACTTGGCAACAAATAAAAAAACGTTATTTAAGTTCGTTTTTCTTAAAAAAGGTCAGAAAATAATGCAGTATTTATATTCTCAGCTTACATGAAGCCAGTAGTGATTAGATGAAACACATGCAGCACATAATTCAGATTTTGAAATCGTTTTCTCCTTAATGCTGAATATTTCAGGCACTTTCTCTCAGGTTTATACACTAGACACTCAAATTATATGTCAGTGATTCAAACCATTTTAGCTTATTTGTACATGAACAGTTGAACATTTACATTCCTCCCTCGTCAAATATCACGGTTCAGTGCATATGACGTAATCCTTTATGTGCATACTTCGTCGTTGAGCATAAGACAGTTGTCGTTCAACGAACGTGTGCTAGTTTAAGAATGATAAAGAGAAATTGTAGTTTCTATTCGATTAGTTTTTCGTCATGGCTCTACACTAAAATAATATATATGTATGATTTGCAACAGTGAAATAATACTCAATAATTATATAATGACACATTGATCATAAAATAATGTTGAGTAATTGGGAGAAAGGGGATTATAATAATCAAAGTAATTATTCGAAAAATCAAACAGTTGCTACGTTGCATAATGTATAAAAAGAAGGGACTAACATAATATTTTGATGAAAGGTCGGTATTGTAGTAGTTATGTAAGAACCAAGGGATGAATTTTGAGAATATGTAAAATACAAGTGGAAGTAATTAGAAAATAGTTTAAATATTTTTGGAAGAAAGGATTTCATCAAAGTTCAGCTACAGGTTCACTCCAATACTGATGGCCAAGTTATAGAGAGTGGTTGTAAAAACTTTTGAATGTTAAGACTTGGTTTGTAAACACTGATCCCAGTGGATTCAGCGTTGTGCAAAAGTTGAACTCGTAAACCAAGTGGTAAATTTGATAGAATATGGTGGATAACCTTAAAAGCTTCATTCATATCAACTTGGTGACTTGTATCCACCAAGTGAGTGAGAATATAACTGAATCACTCATACTCGTCTTCTGTTCAACCAAAACTGATGGTGTTCTGCTATGAGATGACGGATTTGCCGAATTGTACACATTATATAACCGGCTCTAAAGGAGCAGTTGAATTGGTAAATATACATGGATGTGGCGAATTCAAGCAGTCATTCTTAATAACGGTTCTTATTATGGGGCGGTTGTAGAGCCATGATGAAAAACTAATGGAAAAGAAATTTCTCCTCAATTCGTTCTTTTTTTATCAATTGTCGAAATGAGCATTTCCACTGAATTTGTAATTCACTTAGTGGGTGTATTTGTTGTTTTTATTTTGTTCTCTGAATTGAATGATGTAGTTGTGTTAGGCTTATATTGATCTTTTTTGGTAACATTATCATCAGCTCACAATTTCTTTTTGACACTTTTAGATCTCCACTAACTTCAGTTCTAAGCCTGATGATAATTCGGGCTTGTTTACAATTCCCTCTAACAATGATTGCTTTCAAATCTATTTGGATAAGTGCACCTAACGTTTCTTTCTGTAAGTCATTCGATTTATTCATAAAAATTCACTGTTATTTATACCAGTATGTGTAATTTTTTTAGTGCTGTATTGTATTTAATTATAGTTTTGAACAATATGAATTAAAAAGGTAAGTTATGTAGTGTGTTGTTTAGAATATTACGGTATATCCATAACATTACCGAAGTTTATAAAAGGGATTAGATTTTAAATAAAAATAATTTTAATGGTTAAGATCATGAGTCAGTTGAAGCTAGACCACCATGGAAAATCTGGAATCACTGAACGGCCGTTTCGTCCTATTGTGGGACTCCTCAGCAGTGCGCATCCACGACTTCGCTCCCTGCGAGATTCGGACCCAGGACCTACTGGTTTCGCGCGTGAGTGGTCTAGTGGTTAAGCAGACCACATCATACCATAAAATAAAAAATAACCATTGTACAAGGTCAAAACAAAATGCGGTTGTGATTGCGAGAGACTGTAATTAATAAATTGGGTATAACTTAAGGATAGTAAATCGTATAATAATAGCCTATAGGTCAAAATAAAGTCCATAATAAGAGGAATATGAATATAAATAATCTAGTTAGTAAATATTTATGCAATAAGAATACATGTGTAGTATTAGTCCATTAATAGTTCTCAGAAGTTACCCATTATGTAATCTTCGCTAGGGTATAACATAGATATGTGGGCTTGTCTTGTAAATTCAGCAGTACCGAGTGATTTTATTATTTTAGTGTATTTGGCATATGGCTAGCAATGGAATCCAGGTTGGATGTTTCGTCCTGGTTGGGACCCATCACCTAGATATACCTTCATTCCTGTGTTGATGTTTACATTGAAACTCGAATCTAGTATCTTTTATTCAATGAATTATTCATTAATCTACTGACTTCACTTATCTACTATAACAGGTATGGATGCATTATTGTTGGTTCGTAATTTTTCATTGTTCATATCCAGAATTGAACTATCTGAACGCATTAAGTAGCACAGTGGATAAAGCTTTAGGATTTGAGGGGAAAGGTCATGGATCAAAATCTTATTTAGTGAACATCAACACTGAGATGTAGGTAAATCTAGGTAATGATTCCCTAATGGTTATTACTTCTACTCATATACAAAACATTCCAAGGCTTGATACATAATTTTATTTCAAGGCAGTCTGATCAAGATTCACATATGAGAACAGAGGCTGATCAGTTCTAAATATCAATGAAGAGAATAACATCGTTCTTCTTGCTCTCCTGAAGTTGATAAAGAAAACTATATGTGTAAATAATTAGTATCTTCGTCCTGTTTAAATTTTACTCGAAAGTGTCATTTTGCAGATTGAAATCAATCTCCAAGTATTATTCTATTCGACAACCTGCTGTAAATAAGGGATGTAAAACTCGTCCTACATTGACAATGAAAAAAATCCATTTCTGTAAATACTCTTTATCTACACCATGATATCGTGAATGAATGAATAAAGCTGTTGAGGTTGCCTGGTTCTTTAATGTTGTTATGATTTAGTGACTTATAATTTGTATTACTGTTTACAAGAAAATAGTCTCATTAATAAGTATCAGCTAACTGTGACTTATTGAACCAGAATGGGAAGCAAAAACCTAGAGCACTGTACTTATCATCTGTTGTGATGGTGTTTAGTAAGAATTTTACAATTAATTTCATTCTTTTTAAAAATAAAACCCCTTAGATTCATGAAATTTTTAATTTTAATTACGAGACAGAATTCATTAGTTATCTAATACTAATCGTGTCTTTCAGTATGGGGTTGTGAAGATTGTTGAATTCTTTGGAAATTACTAGCCGATCTAAGTTAAATCACTATTGAAAATCTAGAAGCACTAGATGGCCGTTTTGTCCGAGTATGGGACTCCTCAGAAGTACACATCCACAATCCCGCATTCAGGAATCGAACCAAGGATTTTTCGGTTTCGCACACGAATGCTTAACTTCCAGACCACTGATCCATTATGCAACGGTGCTTGTTTTCTGACGTTCTGATTGGTTAATACTTTTAAATCTAATCATGAAGATAATTGATTAGTTTAGATTTCAATTGGTTCTTCTCATGATTCAAAATAGAAAGCAGCGTTTCAAGAAGGCGTTAACTTTTCATCAGTTTAACGAAGACATATTTTATGTAATTCTTATAATAATATTTACTTTCTTATTTTTTTAATTCATTTAGGGATAGGTTGTTCATTAATGAATATTTTACTAGTTGTGAGTGGAGGGATTACAACAATTATGTTCACGTTGATGATGCATTGTACATGTTCTGAATCATCTAAAGCCTATCAAGCAACTCATTATTCTATATTAAGTACAGCAGAATTATTGGGAAAACTTTTATTTGGTACAATAGCCGCATATTTTACAGATGTATTCGGATATGGAGTTGCTATTTGTGTTTTTTAATTTTATCTTTACTTCCAATTCTATATGTTTACAAATGTTCTGGGAAATTTCGATTTTTTCCCTAAATGATTATTTAACTAGGTAAGTTTTTTTTTTTCAATTCAGTCAAATATTGAATAAAAAATGTTTTACCTTGGCATTTGGCTATAACTATCGATCAGTTCAAGACTTGTAACCATTTGTTCATATGTTGTAGGGTAACACGTTCTCATAAGCAATCCTATTCCTTCACTAGGGAAAACAAATTAAGAGTGTTTTGAACTTGCAATTACCTTAGATGGATTAATTCAGTAATGAAATTATGCAGAAAAAGAAATGAAAATTAGGCTTCAATTATTGCCGAATTTTTTATAAAAAGCAACAAGAAAATAGAATCGCAGCATCGAAGTGTGTTGTGAATCATTTTCAAGCTAAGATTTTCGAAAAGAATTGTACACAATGATTCAGATTTATGTACACTTTCTTATCCGCCTAAGTTTATCTTCGTTTTCCATCAATTATATGCGTTACTAGTCTATGAACATGGTAATTAGTGTCAGACATTGTCCTTCACATGTCATTTGATAACCCCGTTTTATATTTGATTCCTAAATAAATTGTAAAATTAGCTCATATCCATCCTTCCAAATTCAAAGCGTATGATGTTTAGCTACGTACTTTAATAAAATCCACGTTCAACCCAAATGTTGTCAGCACTAAGAGAGCTTGTGAACCAATTTATATGTATCATGGTCATTGTAAAAACTAAATTATGTTTCAAACACTTCCATATCAATTTATTTTGATGGAGTTTTGTTCTCTGAGCTGGATGGTTTGATCATGGAGCTTTCATCGTTCTTTTGAACGACATCATCAGCACAAACATCAATTTCTTTTCTCGAAAATATCATTTGTTGTCTAACATAATGAAAAATAGATCTAATTGACTGAGTGATCGTTTTTCATTGTTACATCTATGATTTGGATTTTCTTTAGTGTTGTGGTAGAAAAGAGGTTTGAGATAATTTATGTTCGTACTTCTGACACAATTCATTCTTTAAGTATTTTTCCTAGGTCTGTAAATGTGTCCATTTGCGAAGATTTTCTTGATGCTATTGAATTAAAAGTTGAAAAATTGCTTTTACCCATTCTCCATGTAATTAGATATGAATCACACTAATTTTGAAAGCTAATGATATTATCTAGTTTCTGAAATCGAACTAGGAAGAGCAGAATTAGAACCGGAGACTTAGGAACTGGAAGTTTAACGCGTTGATCACTAAACCACATCTTCATGTTGCTGAGTAGCAAGACGTTCAGAAAAAAATCTCCTATTTTTTTTCTCCAGAATGCAACAAGTTACAGTAATCTCGGAACTGTTCAGTTGTTATATATTTTAATAGTTGAGATCATGAGTCAATGGAAGCTAGGTCACTATGGAAAACCTGGAACCATTGGACGACCACTTCGTCCTATTGTGAGACTTCTCAGCAGTGCGCATCCACGATTCCCCCCCTGCGAGATTCGAACCCAGGAACGGTCGGTTTCGCGCTCGAGCGCCTAGGCTGCAAACCATTGGGCCGGCATCCAACGGTGTTAATGTCTAACTTCAACTAATCCACAAAATTGAGCGATACACCCACCATTGTCTTCGGTGAGTTACTATCTCATAACATACCCGGTTGAACTACACTGGTCACTGGTTCTCACTAGAACTCCAGGAAATATCTCTTAAAGCCAGTCACTAGTGAGCATATGTTGATTATTATCAGAAGGGGTTTTTTGTGCATACTATAGTAATTTTAATCGTTGGTTTCTAATCTCGCGAAGCGGGATTGTGAATGTGCACTTCTAAGGAGTCCCATAATTGGACGAAACGGCTGTCCAGTGCTTCCAGGTTTTATATGGTGGTCTAGCTTCAATTGACTCATGATGTCAACTATTAAAATTACTATAATATCCACAAAAAAAACCCCTTCTGATGTTATATATTTAAAAATAATTCATTTCGTCAGCTAAAATACACCAAAATATCAAAAATGATTTAGAATTAAAATAATTTATATTTATGATTGTATTTTTAATCGCTTTCATAAAATTTGATCAAATCCCAAAAAAATGTTTCCTTCTTTCCAATTGAAATAAATCTTACATCTGATCTCTATTATTATATTTACTCTTATAGGTATTTATTTCATAATTTGATAAATCTTCTGACTGACTGCTTGAATCGGTTTCCTAAGCTCTCTTAATTAAACCCAGGCTAAATCTGCACGACAACTTGAACACGAGAAAAAGGATACGAAATACGGAAAGAATGCTTTACTCCAAAGATTTGTTTATGTACGGAAAATCTAGGGTTTTTATAGTCTTTTAGATGGGATTGAGTTTCCGGAAAATTCTGGAACACTATTAAACATATTAGTTGTATAGATAATCATCCAATGAGAAAATCGACACGTGACTTTTTAATTCCTAGATGTTTCTAGCAAAACTTCTAGTGAATGCTGATTAGATAAGATGCCTCTCAGTGTCTTCAGAGTTTCTTCTGGATTTTTTCGAGGAGTTTTCTGGATCTCTCCAACAGTCTTATTTCTAATTTAATCACTAATCAATCAAATTTCACCAAGATGCTAATCAAATTGTTTTTTTTTTACAATTAATTGGTCACTGGGGTTTTATTTATTTATTTTAACACATATATATTGGTACAAGGAGGCACCAATTACACATGCGCCACACAAATCTCATTTAATTGTGTGAGCGCTGTAATACTACCGGGTGCCCAAACCGAAAAGATGGTTTTCTTAGGGGGCCGCACCCGAGCCTTCGACCTAAAGGTCTGATCCACAAGGCAGTGGAGCATCGTAAGGAGATACAGTCCCATGGTAGTCAGTGACCAACGATTAGTTCATGCGCCATTTGTTCCTTCAGGACACTGGAGCCCATGTTTACCATTGGTTTGGAATCAGGGTTTTCCAACTCCCCTAGGTGGACTCTCCACATTCACCAACCCGATTAAAGCTCCGAACATTCGTTTTTTGTCTTCTCAACTCTGTAAACAACCCCACCGCAAAAATTCAGTGAGTAGGACTTCCCTAGCAGAGGCTATATACGCGTGGCCATGTGAGAGCATTTCAAGAGGGAGAGCGGACTATCCCCACTCTCGGCCGTACCAGAGCATTTGGGGGCAGTGACTGGGGTAGTGACCAATGCTATGTGTATCAAGTCCTTCTTAGTGTTAATCGAATTTTGTCAATCAAGTTGTAATGTAGCCACTAGTCTAGGTGACTCCTTTCTACTTTAAATGAGTTATTCGATACTAACCATTCTTCTCAATTGTTCATCTTACTTTTTAGATCTAGTTTACTTGTTAATCACAAAAGATTAGGACAATCTTAAATTGTTGATTTATGTAGAGAAAAGAAATTAGATCATTCAAAATAAACTAAAGAAAAAACAACAACTCTAGTTAAAAGTCTTGTTAAGTTCATACCGCTCATTGTAAGAACAGTCTTTATTTTACTAAGAGGAAAATCCATGCAAAATTATAAATAGCTTAATTAGTTGAATTGAATGGGAAAAAACCAATCATCATTTATCCCATAGTTTATCTACTTACCTCTGGTTGTACTTGTGTTGTTATTTTTTTATTTATTTATTGAATAACTTCATTACTTTATTTTTTGTTAATGTTTGCCTTACATTAAAACTGTCATTGAACTTTTATTTCCTTGAAAATAGCTTGAACCAGATTACCAGGCGTAACGTTGGATCTACTTCAAATTCTTTCACTGAAATTTTACAAATACAACATTCTTCCTCTTTAATGTCATTAATCTATTTTATAATCTATGCGATATATGTATTCGTTTGTACTTGGTTGTTGATTTCTCATTAATAAAGTATAAGTTTAAGCGAATTTATTTTTCTTTTAATGGAGTTTTATTCTCTGAGCTGGATGGTTTAGTCATGGAGCTTTCATCATTCTTTTGAACGACATCATCAGTACAAACTTCAGATAGAATTTATTCTTCATTTGATATTTGATATTGCATAGTTTTTTTACGTAATTCAAACTTTAAATAAGTTTCTAATGATTTGAATTACTATAGTATTGATACTTAAACTAAATTTTGACCGGTATGAATTGAGATATGTGCATCTCTCTATATGGAATATCTTGATATATTTATTATGTCATAAGTTTATATGGAATATGAGTGGCAGCAGAATCCAGAACGCGTGCGTCTTCTTATTTGGGACCATTGAAGATCGAATATTATTTCTGAGATGCAGGTAATTTGGATTTGTTTGAATCGCAACAAAGCTGACAATGTGTGTGTGCATAGATATTCTTGCCACTTATTTTTATATATAGTGGATTGTGCGCGACGATGTAAGGTATGTAGTGTGTTGTGTTCCAAGACGATTGAAGAAAAAACAACCTAATTCGGTCATGTCACTGCATGTTTTCCGAACTCAGTAATTTCATTTCTTTCTGCATTGATGAGAGCCTAACTTTGTCTAAATAGTATAGCATTTTCTCCGGCCCTATGTTTCATTAACCGTATGATTCACTAACAGCAGTTTTATTGTATTATTTATTTACAATATTCAAGAATTTGTAGAGAGAAACGTTTATTCTTAGCAAACATTCATTTTCATAGTTATGCATTTGAAAGAAATAAAAGAGAAGCATGGTAAGTTTTGAAAGTATATAACTAGATGTCTACTTTTATCAGATTATGAAGTTTTAGTGCCAGTAGAATATCAATAAGCCTTGTCTAAATCATCCAACAGGCAGATTAGTAAATGTCAGACAGTTTACGGTACCTTATTAAGCTAAAAGACAATTATCTGGATCAATCCCGACCGTTGTTGCTACCTTGACGTGGTGGTCGGGCTTGCCTATCGTGATGAAGCAACTGAACCATACTGGCTGGAACAACCGTTCCTCAAGGTTCCAAAATGTCAGACAGGTCGGTTGATGAGCTGTATGACTAAAAGCAGCAAACCCAAGGTTTGAGGAAAAAGTCGTACTGCTGACTGTACAGAGGTGTGACAACAGTAAGGTGTTTCCTTCAGACAACCAGCATGACAGCGATGCTGCCTTCCGACAAGGAGGGTGGGGTTAGAAAAGGTCGACCCAAAAATGCACACCTCGCCTTATCCCATGGATATCCGTCTCCGGCGGTAAGGTCTCAGCAAGTACGGAGCTAACACAAAAATTACCCATAAAAAGGTCGTGTGTGACCGGCCTCAAGCAGTTGTCCTTGGGCACTGCGGTCACGCTCCCAGGTCACTAAGACCACTTCTAATCCGATTTCCCTTTCAGTTACCTCCAGAAGAACCCTTCCACGGTGTGGGCAACCGGGAAGTAATAACCGCCTTCATACCTCTAACAGCATTCAAGACCACTATTCATAATCAACCTCCGTCTAACATCTGGATCAATCATGGACATGCGCATACGGCAGTAGACTGGCTTTGCTTTTTGTAATCTGTTAATACTAATATATCCTGTTGCCTATTGAGTGTATTTATTCTGTCAAGTCACTTAAGAAATTTATTCACCTAGCTATCATGATGAAATAATTTAGACCAAGTATTAACAATTAAGTGACTTAAATGTAAGCCAGGAGGTCACAATTCTGTCCGACTTGAGTAGATCGCATTCGTAGACACATCAATTACGTTAGTGATCTACATAATTATTTTCACAATTTATGAGAAACCAATGTATAATCATTAGATATTAAAAGTTAAACTGGAATTATGTTGAAAATAATGAATGTGTTAACATCTTTCTATAATTCTACAAGTAACCATAATGCACTCATTAAGACATATATCAGTATGAATCGATCGGTCCACTCGCTCTTTTGGGATTGAGGACATGATCTCGTTGGCGTTGTCTCAATCGGTTGTCCACAAATGATCTAAAAACTGCAATGCGAACTATAGTACACCATAGTGTTCAAACTGAAGTCCAATTTTAACCTCGTTAATTATTCATTTATCAAACATGACTGTTTTTTTTATGAGTGTATGTGTGTGTACACTACTTATCCTATCCACCACATGTCTGTAGCTTAATTTTGTGTCACTAAATATTGAATAACGCTTGGTTAAATTGAGTTGGCTCACACACCCCCACAGCGCGTCATTTCGCTTCGTTCCTCTGATCATCTGTCCAAATCATGATGTACAAAATATACGTATTCGGAGTCCATTCTCCTATTTGATTTATTTAATTCCATTACTCACTAACGCGATCTAAGTCGATCGGATGAATAGATTGGCCTGTACAAAAGCTAGAATAAGGTATATGGCTTAACATAGAAACCGACACTAAGTGTTTCAGGTGGATAGTCAATCCCCTCGCATATCAAACATCAGAATCAGTGGTTTATTACCTATTATATAAGTCCATTATTATCGGACGACGATAACGTCAGTGGAATATGTGCCCAGCTCAACTTTGTATATTTATCGATCTAATTTGCGTTAGTAAATAATGCGATGGATTCCGAGAATAATTTTAAATACATACAATTCACACATGAGTTAATGAAGACAGAGAAGTAGAGAAGGCGAACGCGCCTGCTGAATTTAATTAAAGCTTGCTTGAATATCTGGGCGTTCATGCAACCTAGATATTTCAACAAGTTAACTCTGTTTTAATACACCAATATATCTATTAAGCGTAAAGCTTATTCAGGAGCGTTTATGAAAAGTTTACGAATTCTCGCTGTACCAGTTAAAAAATACAAGAGGCTGGTAGTATGTATTAAACATAATGAACAATATTCAAATGTTGATTTCTGAACTGCTGACATCTTACTGGTGATCACTCAATATTTATCGTCAGGATCGATCAAAAAATAATAAAGGAAGCTCGTTAGAATTCTTCGTACTGAGAATTCTATATCGTGCCAAAAAATAATATTGAATAAAACTATTAAAAATGATAATAACCGGACATTGATTATCATGAAAAATTAAAGCGAATACATCGATATATACCGTAATCCACGCATACCCAAAGTCACACATGAATGACAGAATGACTAGTAAGATCAAGATAGTCCATCTGTCCTAAAGCTAGGAAAATTCGCGTTGGTAGTAAAATGCAGGCTTTTACAGTGGGCATTAAAGGTCACTAGAGATATCTTGCTTATACGTCAGCCACGTGTACTGAATACCACAATGAGAATATTATTTGATTTCTCCCTCCATTTCGTATGCTACTCGTGTTAACATTACTCAGGATCTGGCTAATGTCTATGTTTATTGACCGATCAGTATGGTAACAATGTAACAACTTAAACTGGCTGATTCAGAGTTATCAAGAAAAAGCCTTGTAATATTAAGACATTATAGGTCGAGTGTTTATTTACTTATTCTGTGTGGGGTTTGTATTTCCAATTATTCTACGGTGGTTATCGAAAAGTTTGTGTGTTTGGAAGCATAAATTTTAACAGCAGCGCAAAAAGCACTCTACACGGCCAGAGAAAGTATCCTCAAACCGGCTATGTTAGCGTACCAGCACATCAAAACACTCATTAGTATCGCAATAGATGCATCTAACTCGGCAACCAGGGTATATTTAACACAATCGGTAAACAGAACCTGAAAATCTTTGATATTCTTCTCGAGACGGTTGCTTGACAATGAACTGAAGTCCAGCCCTTTCTGCAGAGAGGGCCAAGAATTCACCCAATTTTCTGACCATGAATCTTTAACATTTTCTACGTGCTCATCTTCAGACAAGCACTCAACAACCTCAACTATACAACTTATTTCTGGGGCAAGTAATGTTGTTGCAGACGCCTTGTCTCGTATTACATTCTTGAATAGTTTCCAAGGAGTTTATCTTCCGAAACTCGTCGAGCTTCAAAAAGAAGAAATTGATCGTCTCACATAAAACGTGGGCGGCAGTTTGAGTCTGAAATTTTCCGTTGTTTTACTATTACACTGGGAATCAAAAGGTTTCGAGCAACAGCCTATCACCAAGAAGCTAAAATGTTAGTCGAACGAGCGGGCTTACAAACGCTGTGTGTTTCGTGCAGTCTGTTTCCATTCGACCACAGTCAACAGATGTTTTAGTTAATCGTGCCTTATGACATAGTAAGCACATTTTTATACGTTGTGATTCATCATCATTTGAAAACAGGATAGCAATTACATGTTAAGACTAGCTATTGGCTTTGAGCTAGGATAAGACGGGTTGTGGAGCATACCTAAACTTTCCAGGGCCACTTGAAGATCCTTTTCCGTGGGTGGTTTTCGCAATACTGTAGTGGGATAATCTTTACTTTCATAATTATTTTTCTATTAATTAGTAATGACCTTACACATATGCACTTCTGTTATTTGTCCCTATGTGAACGAAAGTAATGTTTATTATTAGTGCATTTTCGCGCTTGTGTTAGTTCATCGCTTTTCTTGTTCATTAAATGTATGAATTATTTATAGCCTGATTAAAAGGCTCGCTCTTCGAGTACGCTGGTAAATTTCACTTTGCTTACCATAAGTTTAACTTTTATTAATGCCTCATTTCGCCCGCATATATGTGCATAAACTAAATCTTACCAATACATTTCATATCTGACCGCCGGTACATAGCTGAGTTGGACTAACCGATTTCTACTGTTCAACGTTTAGCCGTGTTTTGTTCGTTTTATTTTCTCAGATTAATTTTACTTTACGTCCATGTGTTTTTTAAACTGTAAAGCTTTTCAAATATAGTGGTCGAGACAAAACATCCTTGTTGCAAGACAACCAACTACTTCCTGGTCGAGTGATGGCTGTAAAATATGGCATAAAGTGTGTGCTCGATTTACTCTATTTTGTAGGCTACAGTCACTTTACTTGTGCAGTTTATAGCTCTATAATAAGTCCATTCTCAAAACAG